CCAGCTGTAGCTGAGACAACAGGGTCCCACCACCTCACCCAGCTTTTTTCCATGGAGATGGGGGTCTCACAAACTTTTTTTTTTTTTTGCTGGAGTGGGCCTGGAACCACAATCTTCCCAATCTCATCCTCCTCAGCTAGAATTACAGGCATGAGCCACCAGTGCCTGGCCTCCAGGATACTTAAAATATATAGTCTACTTTACATCAGGCCTCTTCCTTCCTGTAAAGGAATATTATTTAACTTTTAAAAAAAAAAGCAGAATTTGGCAACTTTATTTTGGCTCATGCTGAGTTTTAGTCCAATATTCCAGCCTGGAGAGATATATTTTAAAATCTTTTCTTGTACAATGAAACACAGACTCCAAACTGCACAAATCCAGATGAATGTGTTAATGAGTTCCACAGGACCACTACCCAGGCCAGCAACTCAGGTCAGATGCTTCAGGGACCCCTTCACATGCCCAGTCACCAGCCCATAAACCACAACTAACCATCCTCTCTCTTCCATAGTAATCACTTCCTTGCATTTTGTTGAGTTAAGGCTGTCCTGAGACTTTCAATTTTCTGGGAAGACAATCAAGTAGTCAATCAATCAGCAACTTTTCTACCTACAGTTATGGAACAATCAAACTGGGAGAAGTCACAGAGAAAAACCACATTCCAATTTGCTAGTGAGAAAATCCCAATTTCCCAGAGGCAGGAAGTAATTTATGGAAGATTGCACAGGAAGCAGGGAACTGGAATAGGCCTGATAAATGCAGACAAGACGGGTAATCCTAGCGAGGTTTTTCTACAGCATAGAGCTTACTGCCAACCTGGCTCTCTCCTGGATTGTGGGGCTCTCCCTCTGTCCGAACCATCTGGAACAAGAAAACAAAATCTAGGTAAATGGCCATCCGAACAAACTGTGGAGAAAATGAACCCCAGGGATTCCATAGTCACATACAAATCACTTTGGATCAGAGAGCTCTGATCACCAGGATGCCCGTGTCGCCTGCCAAAGCTCTTTCCAGCTGATGACAAAAAGCTGAAAAGAGCACAGCACAATCAATTCTATTGATACCACAAAAGAAGTGGTGTCTGATGGGTGGACAGCACACAAGAGGATGTTGGAAAGAGATCAGTACAGAGTGACCTTGGGTAAATCATTTCACCTCCCCAAGCCTAGGTTCGCATCTGTAAAAACAAGGGCTTTTATTCCTGCCCTGCTGCTTGAAAACACTTTCTGCAGTGCTTGGGTTCTGTCAGATGTTCACCATTCACAGAGAACCGCAACCCAGTAGCTATTAAATACCTTGCTCAGTTCAAAGATTGGAGGTATTGGAGGCTGCAGTGAATGCTGGCCCTTGAAGGATGATGTTGGGCTCTGAGAAGAAGCCAGGCACATCTCAGAGCCAGGTTCTTAGGGTGAGATATGCCAGTCTGAAATGCATTCAGCAGGTGTTGACTGACTGTGCACTATGTGCCAGGCACTGGGGGAAGAGCAGTATGGGAAAGAGATAGGAATCTCTGCCCCTTGGGAGCTTACATTCTGGTGGTTGAAGGCAGAGATCAGCAGCAGGGAGAAAACAAAAGCTGGGCTGGCAGATAGGAAGTGATGGGGTGACACAGCTGTGATTTAAAATAGGGTAGCCAGGGAAGGCCTAGGAAAGCCAAGAATAAGAGGAGCCAGAGATCAAGGTCAAGCGTCTCAAATCTGTGGGATTCTGTCCCCAAGGCTGGTTGATCCCTCCCAGTCATTGAAAGGGATATATGCAGCAGGAACATTAAGATTTTCTGTGTCTGGCCAGGTGTGGTAGCTCACACCTGGAATCTCAGCTACTTGGGAGGCAGAGGCAGGAAGATCTTGAATTTGAGGCAAACCAAGCAAAGTTAGGGAGATCCTAGCTCAGAAATAAAATGCAAACAAAAGGGCTGGGCACGTGGCTGAAGTGGTAGAGTGCTTTCAAGCTTGCTTTCCTAGCTTGCCTGAGGCCCTGGGTTCAATCACCAGTTCTAGGGAGGGGAAACTTCCATGTCACACTGCATACCCTCACCCCCACTTTAGGGGCTAGCAGGATGGCTTGCCAAAGAGCCTGGAGATCATTCTACCTCAGTCTCTCAAGTGCTGGAGTCATAGGCACGCACCACCAGGCTCAGCAAAGGCTATGTCCCTAAGGCAGCTGTTAGTTTTTCTACTTCAGTAACATGCACACCACTGTTGCCAGATTTCCACCTCAGAATACCACTTGCCCCATTATTTACTAAATACTTGTCTTTCCCTTGGCTCCCCTGAATTTTAGCCTCACTGTAACAGCACTAGCCATAACATTTACATCTGAAACTACATGCTGCATTTTGTCCACCAATGGGCCATCTCCCACCAGAGCATTTCTGTTGGGGGAGACACTGGTGGCAAGGAGCCTCTTGCAAGAGCACCTTCCCAGAGTAAAACTGGGAGCAATCAGGATGTGTGATGTTGGGGAGCCTCCACCTTCTCTGGGTCCCTTTCTGCCCCTGGAGGCAGGCCCAGTCCCACTGCCTGTCTTGGGTTCTTGCTCTTGACTTTCCACAGTGGCCACCTTAAGAAGCAAAGGACAGGTCCTCTGCTTGTAGACTGGTTCAGGGGTTTTTCTCGGATGTAAGGAGAAGGCCAGGGCCCTAATATCTGCCTTTTTCTTGTGTGCTGTGTGCTGCCTGTCACTACCCCAAGTCTGAATTTCTTTTCTTGTCTAGCTTTGATTCCATTGATGGGATTAGGTGCCTCCCACAGCCATGTCCTTTGATGTGGTCAGGGGGTAGCAGGGAGATTTCAGCGCAGGAGCAAATCTTAATCTTCCAAGGGCTTCTCTGGGATCAGTGCGTGGGTAAACCCATTACATCCCTGCCCTTTCATCCCCCCAGGATACCGGCTCCTCCAGGCTCCTAAGTCTCAGATCCCAAGGGTTTGTCAGATTCGGAGAGAGCAATAAAAGGGGAAGAGAAAGCGGAGCACAAACTCCAGCCCCCTGCGGCACAGGCAGCATCACCAGCGATGTTGTGGCATCCTCTTCTTTCTTCCCTTCTAATCCTGGGCTCCCACAAAACGGGGATTACAGAGGCCTGGGGCCAACTCCTGTCCCCTTTGGGGCACTGTGAGCCCCTACCCTCCAGCCCTCCCAGAACTGATTCTCCTTCTAACACCTGCTCCCACACTTCTGTCTGTCCTGTACAGGGATCCTGGTGAGGGGAGGACCCGCCATCGGAACAGAGCAAACGCTTAGCCCCACGGCAGTGATTTAAGTCATGCTTTGGGTTAGTGGGGTCAGAAGAGAGAAAAAAGGAACACAGCCTAATTGTCGGACGCTTCACGTTATTATCTTTGAATGAAGGGACTCCAAGGCCCCATCTGAATGGATGGAGGTGGGGAGCTCAATTTCAGTGGTTATTGGGGCTTCTCTGTGACCTACTCTTCCATTGGCCCTGGAACCAACGGTTCAGAGAATCCCAAACAGGGGGGAGGGGAGAGAGAGAGAGAGAGAGAGAGAGAGAGCCACCAATGGGGACTCTACACACCTCCGATGGGGCTCAGCCTCGCAGCTTCTCTGCCCCATAGGCCCTCACAGTCCCGTCCCCCCCCCGCGCCCAAAGGAACTCAGCCTTTCAAACAGCACAGCCACGAGGAGAGGTGGCATGCCGCAGCTGAAACGGAGTTGAAAATGCGCAGCTAACATCTCGAGAAAACCCGCTGGCGGGTACTACGCTTGCTTCAAGTTTATTATCTCTCCTTGCAAACTACCAAAGCCCTGCGAGAAATGCCTGTGACCCCCCGGTACCAGATGGGGAGGTCGAGGCTGGCTGCAGGGCGCCGCGCGGCGCGGGTGCGGCCCGGGAACAGAGCGGCCGGCAGGGGGCTCTGCGCGCCGGTCTTCGCGGGAGGAAGGGCCGGCGGCGGCTCGGCCGGGTCAAAGGAGGACCAGGGAAAATTACTGGGGCTGGGGGGGGGGGCGGGAAGGGCTGCGGGAGTGGGAGGAAGGCCCTTGGGACTGTCGAGTCCGGCCGCTCGCATCCAGACCCCATCCGGGTTAAAGGCGCGGGCAGCCCAGCAAAGGGACAGTCAGGCCACCCCCACTCCGCCGGGTGTCTTCCCGCCGGTGCAGCAGGCTGGAGCGGGCGTCGCGGCCGGGGGCGGCGCCGCCGAGAGGCGGACGGAGGGCGGGCCGGGGCGGGGCGCCGTCCGCTTGGCTCCGGGAGGCGGTGCGGGCGGGTGCTGGCTGCGTCCGCCCGGTCCGCGGAGAGCGGCGGGGCGCGCAGCCTTCCCGATGTGTCACCAGCACGTGGAGCCAGCTTGGCCCGAGCGAGCCAGCGGCACCCCCCCAACTTTCGAGGGGTCTCGCTGATCCGCGCCTTTCCCCGCTGCGCTGGGCGCGCCCTCTTTGGGGAGGGGGCGGCGGCCCCCAGGTTCCGGGCAGGTCGAGCGAGGCCGCGGTCTCCCGGCCGGGTGCGCGCGGGGCTCCCGGAACGTCGGGGCGCCGGGCCCGGTGTCGCGGCTACGTCCCCAGAGCCCGCTCGGCCGTGCGGGAGGACGCGGCCTGTGTCGGGAGGCGTCGGCGCCGGGCCCCCGCCCTGCCGCGCCGAGCACAGTAACGAGGCGGCGCGCGGCCCGGCCTGGCGGGCGCGGCGTGGGAGCGCGGCGAAGTTTCGCGGTGCGTAACTCTTGCGCTCGGGTGTGAATGCGGTCGAGGACGCGCGGTCCCCACACCTCCCCCATCCCCGGCACTGTCCTTCGGCCTGGAAGCCGCCGCGCCGGCTGAGCGTCGTGTAACCCTTCGAGAGCTGGTTTCAGAAGCCCGCGGGCCGAGGTCGGGCGGGGCAGGTGACTTCTCTCTATGGGACACTGCTTGGGGACACTCAGAGCCTCCGCGGAACGGAGCGCGGTGCAAAGAGCCGGCGGCCGGCCCCAGCCCGAGGAAGCCCGTCGGGGGCTGCACCCCGAACTCCCAGGTGGACGGGAACTGAGGGCTGGGTCTTTGCGGGCGAGATGAGGGTGACAGTTCAACTGGCCTACAAAGTCCCAGTCCTCGGTCCCCAGGACCGGCGTCTCCTCCATGCTTCTCGCCGCCCCAGGCCGGCTTCCTCCCGGTCCGCGTGCGCTTTCACCTCCCATCCCTACACCCGGGAAGATGTGGCAAAGGGCTCGCACCGTGGGGTCTGTGCGCGGATTCGGGATCCCAGTGCCTGCGGGAGAAATCGCGACACACTCGGAAGTTTGAGTTGGTCATTGCGTGCTGTCGGCGCCCTCCCAGAGGAGCTGGATCACCGCTGGGGGGACCTGAGGTGAGGGGAGAGCGGGCTCCCCACTCCCGGACCGGCCTGCCTTGCTGAGCTTTCCAGGGCGGCAATCTAGAGTTTGGGGGCGGGGAAGTCGGGGGAAGTCGGAGCCTGATTTCTAGACTTGCTCCGGGGAAGGGAAAGGCAGAGGGAATGTGGAGGTTTAGCCACTGCAGAGCGAGAAGCCCGTCCCTCTTCCCGCGCACACCATCTCTTCAAAGGTAACATTTTTGAGACTGTGTCTCTATCTTGATGGTCTTTTGTTCCCTGACGTGCCGCGTAACACCGACCGGAGCCAGTCCTCATCAAGTTTTATGCAGAAATCTTCCTTAAACTCTCCGTTCCTCTCATAAGTTTGCTTCTTGCATCTCTCTTCTCCCCCTTCCTCCCTCCCCAAATATCCCACCAATATCTAAAACCCGGGGTTTCTTGTATTGGCATATTTTGTTATTTTGTGTTTTAGCTGTCTTGGCAGTAGGAACCTTGGAAAAACACTTGGGAACACCCAGTGAGGTGACTTGAACTGTGTGAAGGGAAAGTTGATAGAATAGCCCCCTTCTTGGCGTTAGGAAACAGAGGTTTCTAGAAGTGTGGAAGAGGGAGAAGGAGAATCCAGCCTGACCCACATCTTGGGAAGTTGTGCAAAGACCCATGAAAGAAGCATTTTACCACAGGCTTTGGTCCTCTGTGGGCCATGTAGAGAGTAGTCTTTGTTGGAGTCCTGCAGATGTTACCGTCATGTCCCTGTTTGGTGGCATGAAAGAATGGGAAGAGAGGAAAGCCAAGTATGAAGAGCAGTCAGGAGAACTTCTGGGTCACTGAGGGAGGACTGGGTTTTGGAGCCCAGCAAGGGGCATAGCCCCCTGCCCTACCTTTGACCTGAATTTTGTCCATGCATGCTTTGTCTCTCAGACTCCAGCTGGTGGAATGTGCAGATGTTCCAAGTATGGGAGAAAAGTTTCTTTGACCATGGGGTAGATTTCCCAGTTTCTCGACAAATTCTTTGTTTTAAGACAAAACTGTCTAGGACTGGAACTAGTGAGAGCTTCTTCTTGCCCCGAATGAAAAATGCTGTCTTTGGGGCACTGAATCAGGCTGTGAAAACAAAGTTCTTCCTTTGAACCAGTGGCTTTCTCAGCCCTGGGGATGAGTATGGAAAAGTAAGTGACATGGAAGTCTCCAGAATATTTCATGGTCATCAAACATCTGAAGCAATGGGCTGGAGAATGAGATGCAGAAAAGCTTGTGGAGCTGGCTGCATGGCGCTCACCTGAAGGGGGACAGGTTTGGGGACAGTGGGACATAAGTCACTGGGAATAAGGTATAAGGAGCCAGACAGCCCTCCCTGGTCTGGTCCTGGTGTTCTGCAGTTCTTTTTCAGGTCATGTCCTATTCTCCATGAGGCTGGCCTGGGTTTTCGGGATTTTTAGGAAATGACTTGGTGCTTCATTTCTTTAGTGAAAGAGACTGATTAGATTTTTCCTCCTTGGGTTTTTCTTTTGCAAAATGATATTGAATCAACTAGGCAGTGGGTCAGGCTAGCCTGGCCTCCAGCAGCTGATTTTTCCTTTTAGGAATTGTGTTTTAGTTGAGAACATTGCGATTTTGCTGCCCCTTTTGAATTCTCAATGTCCTGTGGCAGACATCTCTCTCTGGCCCCCAGCCCTATCCTCAACCCCTCTTTTTAGATAGGTACTTCAGGGCTTGGGGTGGGGGTGGCTTGAATGTCAGACTTGTTTGCACTGGAGCCTTCTTCAGGAAGCAGCTAAATGCAAGGTAGAAAGCTGACAGGAGGGGAAAGATTTTAGCCAGACCTCCAGGGAAACCCAGGCTGGACTTAGGTCCTGCCTGTTGGGAGGAAACTTGTATTCCCTCAACTCTTAAGTAAATTGCAGCCTGGTGAATAATTAACTTTGCCCTTCTAGTTTTTTTTTTAATAAGATACCAACCTATAAAAGATTAGAGATCAGTTTTTGCCTAGCAGGGTTGGCAATACAGGAGAGATGGTGGGGAAAGCTGGTCCTCTTGTCACTATCCCCAAATCTTGGCAACTTTAGAAAGTTTTGATTCTTAAAAGTGCCCTCCACTGGTGGCCATCCCTACCTGGCCTCTAAGCTGCTGCTGTATGTCTCCTTCAGTGCCTTTTTGCCCCAAATTGAGCTGTATGAGTGCTCCAGGATGGTGAGGAGTCTGTCCCCCACTTGGCTAGCAACAGCTTGGCCAGCACTTGAATCCCCTGCCAGGCTGGTTTGTGGTTCTGCGCAGGCTGGTAAATATTTGGCCAGTCTCAGTTCTTCTGCACAGAAGCACAGTGCTCCTAATCTGTGATAAGTCCCTGAAAGAGAGTTGTCTCAGAAAGGAGGGACCATTTTGGTTTCCATGAAGGGTGTTTCTCTGGAAGTAGTCCAGTGAAGGTCATGAAGGTGCACCGTGGGTCCAGATGTGCTGGGGTTCCATTCTGACTCTTCTGCCAGCTGGGTGGCCTTTGCCCCAGTTGGTGACTTGTCTGTGCCCTAGTCTCTCTCCTTGTGAAACAAGGGCTGTGATACCTACCTAAAGGTGTGGTGGAGCTCATGTGAGCAATGTGTATACAAGTGCCTAGGACAACCTGGTGGATCTTCTATGAGTACCCTCATCCCCTGGGATCATGTGCTTCCAATCTGTGTGTGTGTGCTGTTGGTTGAGAAGGGTGCTGAGTGACTGAGATCTCAGGCTTATGGGTTTGGCAGGTTCTCAGGTGACAATGTTGCTTGCTAGCACTGGCCTTGGGCAAGTTACTTAACCCTCCATATGTAACAGCTTTGTAATCAAAAGGTGGGGATAATATCTAGGAGCCTTTCTGTTGTCTGAGACTGAATCCTTATGTTTTCTCTTTGTTTGTTTTTGTTTTTATACACCAATGTGCCAAGGACTGGGCCAGGCAAAGACTGGAGTGATTTTGGTAGAAAAGCTAACCTTGGTTTCTCACCGTCCCCCCTGACTTTTCTCCAAGCCCTGAACAAATGAGAGCTATTGGAAGGGACTCTCCCAGGATTCTTCAGTTGGCCTGTGGCTGCAGCAGACCCCTCGCCTTCAGGGTGCAGTTCCCAGGTTGGGAGCCAACAATCCTGAGGTGGATGGGTTTGGATTAGCCATCTCAAACCTTAAAGGAACCCTGGCTTGCAGATGTGGCTTCCTTGCACATCTGTTCTGCAGTGCAGCCAGCCTGGGCAGCCCAAAGACTTCATATCTGACCCTGAGCACAATTCATGAAAGGTCCCAGGAAAGGCATTTCATTCTTGCACACTCACTGGCCCAGGGCAAGCTCAGTGTAGTGTCTCAGGGGACAGAGAATGGGGTGGGGGATAATTTGATATTCCAAAAAACGTTGAGAATAATCATGGGCTGGGGGAATAATCAGAGTTCTGTGGAACTTGGACTTTTTTTTTTTTCAAATGGCATAGGCTTTTTTGTTTGGAGTTTCAAAGAGAAGGTGCAGACTAACTGTCCCCTTTTCAGTGCTTAGTCTTTAGTAACCTTAACTGGCCCTGGGCAGGGGGAAAGGCTTACAGAATGGACAAGGCAGGTGACTTCTCACCCACTGCGGGTGCTCCCTCCCTCCACCTTTCTTCTTTTGGCATGGTCTGGAGAGTTTTGAAATTACCCTGTAGCTAGACCCCTTATGTTGGCTGTCCAGGAGAACTGGGGAGAAAAGTGCCCTGTGGGAAGAACTGTCACCTGATTTTAATCTGTGCTCTGTCCCTGGGCCTGATGACACCTTCCCTGTCCAGTAGGTGATTAGACTGAATAGGCCATGCCCCCTTGTAGCCTTCACACTCCTGAGAGCAGGGCGGGAGATGCAGATGCAGGGGAAGGCACTGGTGGAACCCTGGACCATGGGTTTGGAGGAGCAGGAGGGGTGTGGGAAGGATTCAGAGAAGTGCAGCTGTGAAATTTGGATCCGTCTAGTAAGACTGTGGTTCATGCTCATGAAACTTGTTTCCTCTCACTGGATTTCTGCTGGAGTATGTGGGGCTCAGGGCAAACACTGGCTTCTCTTTCTTGGTGATAGGCTTCAATTCTGGGTCTCCCAAGCAAACACATAAGAAATCATTCTCTACCTGTTCTCTCTGAGAGGCATTCCATTCCATTGCTACCCTTCTGAATGGAAAGAACACTCTGCTTATTTTCCCCTAGCACCTGGCTTTCCAGAAAACTATCAGAGAAGGAAAATGCTTTCCTGCTGAAGACAAGATTGGGGAAAGGGCATTGACTTTGGAGTTGGGAGTCCTGGAGACTAGCTGAGTTGGGCCAGACTCAGTTTCCCTGTCTGACGATATGAGATCACTTTGCAGAGCACTATGGGAATTGAAAAAGAATACCAGAGTGAAATGCCAGGCACATGGTGGGGGCTGGCACCTGGTAGCTGTTCATCCCTGGGCCTGGAACACCAATGAACAAACCCCAGTGAGGTCAAGGCAGGATGACCCCAGGCTGGCAAGTCAGCTTGCTTGTTTGGTATCTGGAGAGAAAGCACTGAAAAAAAGGCATGTCCTTGCTAGGGTGGAGGTAGTTCCTGCTTCTTCAGGGAGACTTGCCTGGAACAGCCTGGAAGAAGCAAGGGACCCCAGAAATGCCCACTTTTCCAGGGGTGGGTTCATGTGACCACTTGTGTTGAAGACCGTCTGAGAGGACAGTCTTCAGGGTGATGTGGCCTGTGGAAGGGTCAGGGTGATGTTCTCCTGAATCTTTCTGCTGAGCTTGAGGCTGTGGGCTTAAGCACATGGGGGTGGAGGTGCCTTTAAAGACAGAAAATGTGTCTTTGCTCTTGGAAGTTGGAGAGTTATTAAACAGATACTTGGAACTAGGACTTGACTGTAAGCAAAATGTTAGGCTCCAGTGCGCCTGGCAGACCCCTGCATATCTGCGAAAAGTCAAACAGACCACTTGCTCCCAGCTGGTTGGTGTGGAGGGTGAGTCCTCCCTGGGCCTGAGACACCCACCCATTCGCCTGCTCTCATACTCTC